TTTGTTCCTGATTTACAGCATCCGCAGTTCTTTTGGTTCTCTTGAAAATGGTATTTTGTGCCCTGCACCCTTATCCCCTCGTCTACCCATCCGCCATTCTAAATCCTCACCCACATACTTTACACACTTATCAACTCTGTAGCTTTTCACTAAAACTTTGGGACATTTCAAACTCTTCATTTATCAGGCTACAGTAGTTTGTGTTGTGGAAAAGGGAGGTGGCATGGCTTCCTTTGATGATCTTACAAAACAGGGATTTGGTTGGATTAAGGGTGATGTTGAGACCCTCGTTACTTTTCTTTAATTTTCTCTTCTTTTGGTGGAACTGTGGTTGAGTTAGCGTCTGTTGAACTTTGGACAGTTGTGTGTTTTAAGAAGAGAAGGAAACAAACACAGATATTTGCTGTTGGTGACTGGTCTGAAAGATAATGCAATGTAATTACTAATCAATGGAATACTGTGGATGAGTTCGTGCTATGTGTTGTCTTGCCCAGGGCTTGCATGCCTAAGCTATGAGCTTGGTGTTAGCAGCAATTGGGTAAAGCTGAGAGTCATCACATACTTTAATTTCACTGAGTCGTGAATTCAGTAAATAGACTGATTTCGGTTCATTTGCTGTCCCTGATTATAACATAATATTGAACATTTCTGAAGCCTCTGACATGAGAACTTCTAACAGGAAATATAAACAGATGCATGGTAAGGAAGTACATGATTGTTGATCTCGGAGATGTCTAATGCGTGATGTGATGCTGTAATTGGATATCACTTACTGAACAATCCTGTGTGCGTCAAGAATGACTTTAAACACCAAGTAGAGGTTATCAGTCAGATTCGCAGTATGTTTCACTTGCACTTGCCAGAAGTTATACATTTCATATTCAAGGTCCTGTCCTCTGAAGGTGAAAGGTACATGTCCAGGTAATGTGCCTTTTTTCTTAAAATAAACACAAACAAAGTTTTGGCAAAGATTTGCAGCTCGGGTTGTGGGTGAGGTTGTCGACTTGCTCACCGAGCTGGCTTGTTCTCATTTAGATGTTTCATCACCATGCCAGTTGACATCATCAGTGGAGTCTCCGATGAAGTGAACTGACAATGAGACTCCTAAGACCACTAGGAATCATGGTGGCCCACAAGCCCACAGCCACTCTACGACAAACACTCACAAGGGTTAAATACCCCATTCCCAACAACATGCAGAACCAAGATGATTTACAAAATATCATGCAACGACTGCCACAAACATTACATCAGACAGACAGGAAGGAAACTAGCCATCAGAATACATGAACATCAACTAGCAGCAAAACAGCATGACAAATTCTCCTTAGTATCAGTACACTCAACAATGAAGGTTATCAGTTTAACTGGGACAAGGTAACCATAGTAGCCCAAGCCAAACATAGACAAGCACAGGAATTCCTAGAGGCGTGGTTCTCCTCCTGTAATGCAATCAACAAACATATATAATTGGATCCCATATACAAACCCATATAGATCAAAACCGGAAATGACAGCACTAACCATAATGGACCAGAAAGTATAAATTCCAAGTGGAGTAGAACAACATCGCTTCATCAGAGGCTCCACTGATGATGTCACCTAGCATGGTGATGAAATGTCTGAACGAGAACAAGCCAGCTCGGCGACCAAGTCAACAACCTCATAAACACAAATATTTGGGACAATATATGGCCAATGCTTTCTACATGGCACTATTTCAGCTCATTAATGTCAACTTTCCAACTAATGAGCACTCTTTGAGATTGAATATAGTTTGTTGCTCCCTTTCAAATTTGGCATTCTTCATTTCACCTGATGAATGGATGATGAAAAGCTTCAACAGCATTCTATTATCAGTAATACTCACATGGTAAACTGTTGGTTCTAGTGAAGTTATAGCTGGATCATATCGATGACTACCTTTTTCCTGATTCCACAATAACTGAACTCATAACAGGGGGGCTGCAACAGAATTATAGAATGCTACAATAGCACAAAAGGAACATATCATGACTATGCCAAATTGGCAATTTGTTGAGATATTTTCCACTCTTAGAAACTGGGACATCAAATCTTATTTTGTAGATAATGAATACAAATATGAATATTAATCTCTGCTGAGTGAGATTATTCCAGACAATGGTATTTCTTCAGCTTTACCAGCAGAAACCTAACCAATCAGCACTTAACTTCAATAACACTCATTTTCCACATATCAAGTAATTTGATGTTCAATTTGTGATCATTGTCATGGCATGAGTTTTCAAAGCAATTTTTAAAAATTAACCTGTTATGACTCACCTCCAAGGCAGGTGAGATTTGAACTTAGAACTTCTGGCCTAGAGGTAGGGGCACTACACTATACCATGAGGCATAAGCTTTAATCTTACACTGAATATCAGAGAATAAACTAATCAGTTGATTGAAATTGAACAGCTTGTTCGGGATACAGAGGAAATTGAGGATCAGTAAAACAGCAGGAGCTCTTTCATCGCCTTGAGACCATTTTGATATTTAATTAGATCAAGACTGATCCAAAGCCTAACTGCATAAACCATTGTTTTGACTGTGGCCGTTAGAGATAGACCTATATCATTAATGTACATCGAACAAAGCAGATGTACTGATATAAAAATTTAGGGGAGACCATTTGATCAACACTGTGAAATACCAACACCCAAAGGGGTCTGCAGCACTTCAAGAAGGTAGGTCAACAGCACCTACTCAAAAGCAATGAGGACTGGGCAGTAACTGATGGCCTTGTCAATGGTACTCATGTCTCATAAATGAACTTAAAAAAAACAGCCTAATAAATAACCATTCATCACTATTCTGTCTTTCCTTATCCAATGTTATATCCATGCTAACATTGTCCCTTTAATCCTTTGAGCTTTAGTCCTCCTAATTGTGTGTCACCTTATCACACATCTTCTGAAAATCCATTGCACATCAACCACTATCGCTATCATGCGTTTCCATTCGGGAGAAGCTGAATAGGCTGGGTTTGTTTTTACCTGGAGCGTCAGAGGTTGAGGACTGACCTCTTAGAGGTTTATGTAGTCATGAGGGATGTGGATAGGGTGAACAGCCAAGGCCTTTTCTCCAGGGTAGGGGAGTCCAAAACCAGAGGGCATTGGTTTGAGGTGAGAAATGAAAGATTTAAGGGGCAACTTTTTCATGCAGATGGTGGTGCATGTGTGGAATGAGCTGCCAGAGGAAATGATGGAGGCAGGTACAATTACAACATTTGAAAGGCATCTGGATGGATATATGAATAGGAAAGGTTTAGAGGGATATGGGCCAAATGCTGCCAAATGGGGCTAGACTAATTTAGGATATCTGGTCGGCATTGATGAGTTGGACTGGAGGGTCTATTTCCACGCTGTACATGCTTCTGTGACTCTATGACTTAATCAAACAACCTAAACTGAATTCATCAGTGATAACAAAAAACACTTCTTCAAAACTCTGAACACTAGGCATTAGCTCACTTTTCCCTGGGGTATAATCCAGGCATTTAATAAGTATGATATAGGTTAAATGTTTCAAGTGCTTGTTTATATACTTTGCCATGGTGTTGGTGGTAAGATAAAGATCAGCTTAACCTTTCTCAATGTTTCATTGAGCACTTCAGTATAAATTATCACCACCTGAGCCCAATATTTAAAACGTCATGGAAGGCTTTGAGGATGGACTCTACATCATACTTCATGAGGATCTGCAACACAAATGAGCTTTTTCTTTTCTCAGCTTGCATATTAAAGGACAAAAGGAAAATGGGATTATCCCATGAGATACTTGACCAATGTAACCATCTCATGCAGCACTGTGGATGATTGTGCATTGTGCTGCTCACAATGCTTTGACCAATCTTTTTGTATTAATTCAAGACTTTTCCACAGAGATGCTATTTATCATTCCCTCTGATCACATGAAAGCAATGCTGCACTACAGTATAATTATCTTTATTGGTGAACCTTTTATTACATTGTGTGAGATCTGTTATTTTAGGGAGAAATTTCAAACAGCGAAACCCCATCATTCCAGGTAAATCAACCAGAAACGTCTGTCAGATTGTTAGAAACGCCCAAATAATGTCCCTTAGGGAAACAAAATTGCCATTCTTTAGGAAGTCAGGTCCAAAGTGACTCCAACCACACACCAATCAATGCTGCACTGATGATGTTACCCAGCAGGGTAATGAAACGTCTGCGGAACAACAAACCAGCTCAGCAAGTCAACCAACCACAATACCCACAGCCCGAGCTACAAATCTACTCCAAAACCTTAATGGTTAAGTTTATATCTCCTCT